CGGGGCTCGAACTCACGGACCGCGAGATCGTGACCTGGCTGAAGTCGGACGCTCAACCGACTGCGCCACCCAGGCGCCCCTGAAAAAGTCATACATTTTTATGACCTTGGATTAGGCAGTGGTTTCTTAGATATGACACCAAAAGTAATAACAGAAAAAAATCAGATAATTTGGACTTTATCAAAATTAAAAATTGCGTGCTTCAAAGGTCACCATCAAGAAAGTGAAAAGGCAACCCATGAAATGAGAGAACGTATTTGTAAATCATATATCTAATAAGGGAATTGTATCTACAATATATAAAGGACTCTTACAACTCAATAACAAAAAGACATATAATCCAATTTAAAAATGGCAAGGGATCTGGGATGCCTGAATGGCTCAGCTGGTTAAACATCGGACTCTTGGGGCGCCTGGGTGGCTCAGTCAGTTGAGCATCAGACTTTGGCTCAGGTCATGATCTCATGGTTCGTGAGTTCGAGCCCTGCATCGGGCTCTGTGCTGACAGCTTGGAGCCTGAAGTCTGCTTTGGATTCTGTGTCTCCCTCTCTCTCTGCCCCATCCCCACTCATGCTCTGTCCGTCTTAAAGAGAAATAAAACATTTTAAAACATTTTAAAAAAATCAGACTCTTGATTTTGGCTTAGGTCATGATCTCACAATCGTGGGATCTAGTCCCATGTTAGGCTCCATGCTGACAGTGCAGAGCCTGCTAGGGATTCTCTCTCTTCTCTCTGTCCCTGCCCTTCTCCCCCACTCATGCTCTCTCTCTCTCTCTCTCAAAAGAAGTAAATATTTTTTAAAATAAAAACAAAAATGGCAAGGGATCTGAATAGACATTTCTCCAAAGAAGTATACAAATGTCCAATAAGTGCATGAAAAGATGCCCAACATCATTAGTCCTCAGCAAAATAGAAATCAAAAGCACAATAAGATAATGCTTCACATCCATTAGGATGGCTCTAATAAAAACACAGATAATAAGTGCTGGTAAGGATGTGGAGAAATTGGAACTCTCCCACTCTGCTGGTGGTAATGTAAAATAGTGCAACCACTCTGAAAAATAGTCTTGAAGTTCCTCAAAAGGTTGAATACAGAGTTACCATATGATCCAGAAATTCCACTCCTAAGTATATACCCTAAGAGAAACGAAAATAGATCTCTTGTAACAAATATTTGCACACGAATGTTCATAGCAACGTTATTCACAGTAGTCAAGAGGAACAATCCAAATGCTCATTGATGAATGGATAAAAGGTGGAATATTCATACAATAGAATATTACTCAACCATAAAAAGAAACAAATTACTGTTACAGGCTACAACATGGATGAATCCTGAACACAATATTGTGGATAAGTGAAAGAAGCCAGTCACGAAAGACCACATATTACATGATCCCATTCATATGAAATGTCCACAATAGGAAAAGTTCTAAAGATATCAAGTAAATAGTGGTTGCCCAGGGCTGGGGCTGGTGGTGGTAGTAAGTGGTTGCCAATGGGTCTGGAAGGAAGGTGTTAGGATGATGAAAATGTTCTAAAATTGATTGTGGTAATGATTATACAACTTTGTGAATAAGCTAAAATCCACTGAGTTATAGGTTTTATTTTTAAATGTTTATGTATTTTGAGAAAGAGAGAGTACAAGTGAGGGAGGACAGAGAGAGAGAGAGAGAGAGAGAGAGAGAGGAAGAGAATGTGAAGCAGGCTCTGTGCTGTCAGAGCAGAGCCTGATGTGGGGCTCAAACTTGCGAACCGTGAAGTCATGACCTGAGCCAAAATCAAGAGGTGGATGCTTAACCGACTGAACTACCCAGTGGCCCTGAGTTGTATGTTTTAAATCGGTGAGTTGCCCAGTGTGTGAATTACGTCTCAAAAAAGCTGTTATTTTTAGGAATGAAATTAAATGAAAGTGCAGCACAAAAATTCAAAGCTGTGTCAATGGAAGTACGAACTCACACCCTGAGTTGACAGCTGTGCCCCAGAATTTGATTATACAAACTCATTTGGTTGCTCTTTGTGTCAAATTTATATTTGGACTTAAGATTCATTTGAAGGAACATTTTTTAAAAACCATGGTGCCTTTGGGAGACAAATAGTATATAATGGGCTAAAATTAAAGATGAAAATAAAAATCAAAAATTCTGTACAAAAGTAGGTAGAAGAAACCACTGTGGAGTATTCAGATGATCAGTAATTATAAATATATTCTATTTAAAACAAGTTCTTACTTTTAAGCTTATAAAAAGCCAATTTCTATTCCCTTACTAACTGCTTGGCCAAGATCTTATTTCTCCTTAATAATTATGAAATGTACTTATAAATACAGAAATAAAATGAGTGTTTTTATAACTGTTAACTTGCTTTAACATGACATTGATTTGCATTTATAATTGGTAAGAGTTTAAACTAATCCAAGATAACATAAATGGGCATAAGTTTTTGGTGCTTTGAAATGTTTTTCCCTCAAATTATAAAAGCAATATAAAAACATTACATAAAAACTGGGATAAAAAACAGAATTAATTTATATTACCAAGATAACTATTTTCATTTTCCAATGTACCTTGCAGAGTATTTTTCAAATGCATACATTTTAACCTAACCGCAATCATCTCTAAAATATAATTTTGCACCCTGCTTTTTTTCCTTAATGCATAAGCATTTTCCACATTGTACAGGCTTTATAATTATAGATTTATGGCAATATATTTTTTTAAGTGCACATGATTTATTCAACAATTATTTCAGAGTCGGACATGTAAGTTGCTTCCAAAGTTTTGATTTTATAAATAATATTGCAAAGACTATCTCTGTGCATATTCTTTAATGTTACTATCTTAAAAGAGATGCCTAGAAGTAGAAACATTTTTATGACAGTTGACACATACTGCCAAATTACTTTCATCTCTACTTGGATGATCCATAAGCTTCACAGACTTAATACGTTCCGAACTGAGCTCATCGTCACCCCACCCCACCTCCACCTGTTCCTCCTTTTCCATCTTCTTCTCTCTCGATGATTGGCATGGCCAGATGCTCAAGCACCATCATCTTTGACTCCTGTCCTTCTTTCCACATATTCAATCCATCATCAGTCTCTGACATTTACCCTGAAAGAACTCTCCCATACACCTGTCCACCTTGTTCCATCTGACTGTTACAACCCTACTTCTGATCACCATCACTTTCCACAGACCGTGGAGCAACAGCCCCTTAACGATTCTCCTTGAACCCAGTCTTTCTCACTGTCCTCAGGGAGCCTCTTTGCAGAACAAATGAATGAATAAAAAGCATTATACCAGTTTTAAAACACAGGCAACTGCTTATTTGAAAGTTGCTAAGAGAGTAGATCTTATGAGTTCTTTCTC